TTTTTTAACAAGAATACATTTTCAACAAGAATACATTTGTTCATGTAAAGAACTACTCTACCTACAACCCTTAATTTAAATGACCTGTGAAAATGTTTCGACCCACTAATGTTAAGACATTCGAGGTGTGATTAATTATACATGCACAGTACAAAAGAATTTATTTAAATAACTATTAACATACAACACTGTTAATAACCATATAAATACTACAGTAAAAATTCAAAGCATTACATTTGAGAAGAAGAAAGGAAGTTGCGAAGTCGCTGTGGAATCTGGGATTTGTAGTTGTGTATGACATGAGTAGTTCCTTCAACATTAAAAGTAATTGTGCACATTTTTTGTCATTTTCCTTTATTTCTTTTGCCCATATGTCTGTGCCTAAGATCGTAAAAAACAACTTATGCCACATTTACTCTATTTATATGTATATACCCTAAATCTGAAACCTAGCAGTGTTTTGAAGTGAAGAGTTTTTTAGACTCACATTAAATACTGAACAGACCTTTACTAGTGTGGAAATGAAATAGGCTTCCATGATTGGCTGAAATATAGTGATTGAAATGTAGTATCGTTAGCCTCTTAACTCATATCATACACTTACACTGAATCTATTAATAAGAAGCGTGCTCAGAACTTGATCATTTGTGTATGTTTGTGAAAGCTCAGGGATTTTCTCGCTGGAGAGTCACTTATAATAAAAGGACCCACGTTGACTTACTCCTTGGAGGTCAAGTAGCATAATTGTGTTCCAGGGCTGCAGCAAGAAGCACGATCCATCTCCTTCTGCTGCACACACGAGTGTCATTACATAAAGGTCGCCGGAGTTGAGTCATCAGGATATCTAAAGGCTTTTCCTAAGTGAGGTGTTTTTTCCCGTTGAGGTAGCAGAAAGCCGTGAGTTACGGAGGGCCGCAAGTCTTGTTATGCATCGTTGGTTCTAAAGTTGCTGGAGCTGCTTTGGTATCAGCCTGTTGACATGGAAACTGAAGAGGCTATTGTGTGACAAGTGTTTCTGCCACCAGTTTTTTTCCCTTTCTTTTCTTTTTTTTGTAGAATCGGGATCGATTCATGAGTCATTTGTTCGTGGTACTGTTTGTTTTGTGCCTCTAAGTGTCAGACAATCATTGCTTAATTTCATATCTTACAGTGAATTGAAAGAGTTTGTTGTGTCGTTGACACTATAAATGAGAATATGAGAAGCGAGTGTCTGAGCATCCATCGTATCAAATATTAAATGCATCACTCAAATGCCTCACCTTTTTCTGGTTTTTGGCTTCTGTGTTTTAGCAGTGAGTGGGTGCTTGCAACCCAACAGGCTCTCAGTGACTTGCTTGAGTCATTAATCTGCTTCAATGTGACTTCAAGGCAAAATGGTCGTTTAATACAAAGGATCAAAAGCCAACAGTTCTCTTTTAAAACTCAAATCAAAATAAAAACCGAAACGTAGAAGCTACAGCACATTAAACTAAACATACACTGATCAGCTACAACATTAAAAGAACTTGTGGAATATTGCGCAAGCCTCCCTCGTGCGGCTAAAACAGCTCAGACCCATCAGGGCATGGACACACGGGTCCTCTGGGAGCATCCAGTGCATTCTCATCCCAGGGCATCAAATGCTGCCATTCAGTCAGATGCAGTGGGGCCACAGTGATACGAACAAGGTGCCCTTTAGCACTGGTGCCTGAACACAACAGCCACAGCAGTATTGGATCCAGAGAGATAACGGCCTTCCTTTAAACAGTCCAGAGCAGAATGCTGGAGGGGGAGGCAGTGGAAGAAGAAGGCACTGGTTTGTCTGCCAAGAGACCGCAGTTCAAATCATATTTGGGAGCTTTGTGTTTTGCACAGCTTGCTGCTTGTTTAGGTTAAGCAAAAACGGCTTTTACTGCACTGCGGCTCAGAGGTTAGCCACAGTGCTTGCCTAACAGCAACAGGATCCTGGGTTCAAACCAGGACAAACACTTATGTGTGGAGTTTTGTTTTTTTTCTTCCTGTGCTTCTGCAGGTTTTCTACAGGCGCTCTGGTTTCTCCTGCCATATAACATGCTAGGCTAATGCTGCCTATCTTGGCCCAGGATACTCCTGTAAATGTAAATGGCAAGAGTTTCACTTCCTGTTTTGTTTTGTTTTTTTAAAAAAAAGGAAATTTCGGTCAGTTTGGCAAATGGACTGGTTTTTAAATAGGGCATTTCTATGTCAACCGAGTTCTCAAAACACTTTACACTTCCTCCCTCATTTATACAAACAGTTCTTTTTCAATGCTTATGTGTTTTCTGTGTAACATTCACATTGTGATGGATGCATCAGGGAGCAGCTTAGGGTTCGGATCTTGCCCAAGGATATTTGGCATGCAGGCAGGAGCAGCCAGGGATCAAACCACAAACCTTCCGATTTGTAGATGATCTGCTCTACCTCCTGAGCTACAACCACCTCTTGTCCTTTATGTGCATCTTATTTAGGACAAGATGGTGGGTTAGGTCAAAATTCAGCCCTTCTCAATATTAAACCTAAACGTTAAAGTGCCAGCTCAGGAGGCAAAGCAGGTCATCTACTGATCAGAAGATCTACAGTTCAATTCCAGGAGGCTCCAGTCCTCATTGCAATCTGTGCTTTGGCCAAGGAACTGAACTCCATGGATGGATGGATGTACGCCAGGCATAGAATAAAGTGCTGTGTGAGAGTAAAAAATTTTTAAAAGGCACTAAGTAAGTATGTGTGCATTTACTACAAAGGACTCTGATTTATCTATATGAGCATTTTATGTGAAGAGTTGGCTGTGTGCCCTTTCTCACTGTTGTCATGATCCTGCACATCATGTCACAGATACCACAGTGACAGCTTTTGCAGCATTTTTGTTGTGTTCCTGTTTTTTGTGGGGGGGCTGGCCGCATTGTTCAGCCAGAGGAAAACCACTGCTGTCGAGGTGTGTTGTTCCCATACTACAGGTGTGATGGCAACAGCACACCTGTTGCTCTGGAACAATAAGTTAACAATCAAGAACAGGTTTAGGTAGGCGGTACGTGTCAAAGTAAGATTCACATGAATGGCTAGACCCAAAGTTTCTCAGCTTAACAGTGTATTAATTAATGATACTTCATTTTAGTGGTCTTAATGTTGTGGTTATCAGCGTGCTGTGATCAAGATAGTGTAAAAGGAGAAAAATTAAATCTAAAATGCATCTAAAAGAAAAAGGGAGAGCAGTCTGAATGCATAATGTGCGTGCAGCGTGTGATGTGCTTTTGGTGTCTGATCCTCTGTCTTGAGCATGAAGCATATTTGCATGTTAAGGAGAGGGGTTTCCTAAGTGCTCCTATTCTCTGTGGATGTGGAAAATTGACAGCAAACGGAGTAAAACTGGTTGCTACATAATGCATCAGAAGATCCTGTCCGTTACATTAAGTCACTTTCAGGTTCTGCATGAGTAACATCTGTGTGTGGCTTAAGCTTTAATGTTGAATGTCTGATCTGTGTCTTCTCAGAGAGCCATATGGACCCAGATGATGATCCATGATGATATCCACTGAAAGCCCAGTCTGAGCTGAAACCCTCCACCAATCAGAAACCCGTGGATGAAGACAGTTTAGTGAATCTGCTCCCAGACGCTGAGAATATGGTGAAAGCTCAGCGGTGCCAGACGGCGAAATGCGGAAAGCCCAAGAAGGAGAGGGGAAGTAAGGAAAAGCAGGATGGTGTGAAGAAAGGGAGAGGGGGGGTGATTGAGCTGAAGAGGAAGAAAAAGAGGGACAAGAAAGACTTGCACCGAAATAAAAAGAAGAAACTAGCCGTGAGTGATGGAGATGCGTTGGACTGTTGCGTGTTGCTCACCCGTCTGGAGGAGAAAGCAGCTGCTGGTAAAGAGAAGAATGCACTAAAAGCTGGGAAGAAAAGGAGTGTAAAAGTTAAAAAGAAGCAACACTCCATCCAAAGAGGGACCAAACATAGACTCAAGAAAACCTCTGTCGCCAATCAGCAAGCACTGGAACCAAAAAACAACCAATCTGACGCCTTACTCATGATGCCCTCAGCTATGTTTGAGCCCCGCAGAAGGAGAATGGCTTCTCTTAACGCTGAGGCTGTCAACAGCTTGCTGCTCTACAAAGACGGCTCACTCATGGCGAATAACGCAAAGAAATGTCAGCCATCCAACGAAGAGCCAGCAAAAGAGCTCACTAAAACTGAACACGGAGATCAGAAAACCAAAAAAGGTTCTTTGGAAGGGAAAGCAGTCCAAAAAGAGAGACCGAAAAAACAAAAGCGTTCCACAGCTGAGGCTCAGAACATCGACTGGTTGAGTTTGCTTGCACCGACACCTCGGCGTCAAGCAGGCCTCACCGCTGCAACGCTGCTCAAACTCACCAGTGCCCCATATGGGGCCAAACGGCAAAGGAAGGTGGAGTCCAAGCCAGGGAGTAGAAGTGAAGCTGCAGCTACGACTCAGGATGGAATGAGTGGTAAGCCTGTGTGCAAAGGAACAACACACACCAAACGAAGAACACATCCCAAACATGAGGGGCAACTAAAGCACAGAAAACAGGGCACAGAAGATCCAGTCCATTCCCAGGTGAGCCCCGCCATCCAGGAATGCTGCAGTTTGTGTAAGACGGAGACTTTGGATCCGGAGTGGAAGGGTGCCACAGGGGGGCAGGAGTGTGTCAAGCATCCTCTCCACTGTGGCTCTTCTCTGGGATTCTCCTTAAAAACAATCAAAGAGGAGCAGGTGGAGACGGAGGTGTCTTCCTGTTACTGCTGCTCCCAGGAGAGATGTGTCGAGTACTTTCACAGGCTGGCCCTCTTCCTGGATGACAAAACCTTCAAGGAACCAGAGGACGGCTCACTGTCTGAGGTGTTCCACCACCACCATCATCATCACCACCACCATCACCACCACCATTCTGTTGGCCACCCGGCAGCCATAACCATCAGCCCACACACGTACACCTGTTTCCCAGGCTACTACGTCCATTTCAGCCACCCGGACAACTCCGCCTCCACCATATCACCTCTCGCTTTATGCCCAAGCGGCAGCAAGAGGCCGAAGCTGCTCCCCAGCACGGGTCCCCAACCCTCAGGGATTAGCCATCCAGTGTACTGCTGCACCTCAGTGAAACCGTGCTACGGAGAGCCCTGCAGGATCAACGGCTACTCTGCTTATACCAGTGTGATTCCAGCAATTAACAGAGGAGCGTGCTCCTCTGGCCGCCCAGACTGCATCAAATGTAACCACAGCGTAAAAAGAGGTAAGCGGAGATCACACGGTTTAATTTGCAAGAATTCATTTAGTAGAAATTCCAAGTTAATGAGTTACTTATGGCATTTGTGCAACCAGAATGACATTTTCCTGTCAAAGTTTGCATCAGTATTCTGTTTCCAAATACAAACTGAGATCAGATTTCTTTTAGGCTTCAGAAAGTGCCCTCAAGATTCATAAATGACATTAAAACAGCTGTTTTCACAAGTGGAGTCGTATTTCTGTGACGGGCTCCTTTTATCTAAGTAAGCGTTTTGAAGAAGTATTAAATGTTCGTCAGCACAGTATGGGTATATTATTTTGCATGCAGAGCCCCGCTCATCCAGCTGCCAAAGGAGTACAATGTGCTGAGAATAGCTATTATATGAGCCATTTATATTCTCCCACTTTGGCATGTCACTTGAGTGGGAAGTTGGAAAAAAAAAAAATCAGATAAAGGGCAAGACCCCTTTTGTCTCCGTTTGAATAAAAGTCATTGGACGGTGAACACGAGGCCTGTGCGGCTGAATACAATTGAGCTGTACGGGCTCGAGTGTCTGCTGTGAGTTTCTGTGTTTAAAGTGAGCGATGTGAGCCTGAACAGGAAAGCACGCTGGGGTTAAACAGCGTCTGAATATGTGGGGGTATGGTTAGAAACACCTGAATGCGATCTCAAAATAACACTAGTTTCACACACGCACTCTCTCTCTCTGCCACTCTTTGGTCTCTAGCAGTCACAACCAGGTCACGCTGTCTGTGAGGACTTACGCTTTTATCTACTAGAGAACCAAGTTTAATCTCAGTGGAAATGTTAACTTGGAAAAGAACAGACGTACATAATAGAATAAATAATGGCTGAATTTCATTTGGCTGCTTACTTACTGGCTGCTGGTATTGTGTGTGGGGTGTGTTTGTGTCATACTGTCATGGCTTACTAGGAGACCTAAATAGCACAGACCCATTGTTAATGTCATTAGTACACTTGTGCTTTTCCTGTTGTGACAAGTATGCTGTCAAAGAGGTCTGTGGTCCACCCACACAGGTGTTGCCACTTTTCTGCCTGAACAGACCTCATTACTGTTTGGGTGTATACACCTCCGGTTTTATTGACAGCTTCCTCGCTCTCTTGCTCATTTTGTGGCATCTTTCGAGGTGTGTACAGCTTAAGCTGCATTTCATTTGGCTAATGGGCCCTCTCGCTTCCCTCACTCGTCTCTTCCTCGAATCTCGGCTTCGCCCAGCGGGGGATGCGATGAAGGAAATGAGGAAGAAGTACAAGGATGGAGGAAATGCACGTCTCGAAGTGCTCATTCACCCTAGCATCAGTTTTTAAGAAAAGATGGCAATACCTCATGATTCAGAGTCTCAGCAAATGTGCAGGAGGACCTGCTGTTCATCACATAATGCATGAAAAATACAGATGTCTTATCACTATTATAAATAATACAGACATAAATGTATGTAAGTGCAAGAAAAAGGGCTGGTTGGATGTTTGAACGTCTGAAAATTTTACCTTCTTTCTATAAAAAATGAATCAGGATTAGTAATTTGGGACACAACCAGTGTTGGTCAAGTTACTTGAAAAAAGTAATCAGTAACTAATTACTGATTATGTCAGCAAAAAAGTAATCCCGTTACTTTACTGATTACTTATTTAGGTAATTAATTACTTAGTTACTTAGTTACTTTTTAAAAACACCATTTACAACCTGAATAGGTGATAAAGCGATAGATCTTTCAGCCCAATTCTACTTTTTCTGCATAATCCATCATACAAAATGTAATCAAATGGAAAAGTCTCTTTTTAAAACTTGTTTTATTAGTTTTAATCTTTTAACTTTATGCATCAAGCAAAAATTAATTATATGCAACATTCTCTGACTGAAAAATTAGTTTAACATTTAAACCTATTTTCTGCACATTCCAGCACATAAAATAAAATATTTTTTGTGTTTACACTCATCTTTCAAATAGATGCAAGTAAAACACAGCAGAAAATAAATAAAGTCAAAGACTCAGCGGTCCTGTTGCTCTATTTTCACCTGTAAAGCAGGACTGGGTAGGCGGAGGTTTACCCTGGTGCAGGTGTGCCGCGGTCAGTTGAAGAATCCGCGAGTTTCTCTGTGAATTTCCCATTACGTCGTTGCGCACTCGGTGCTTGCTTGGAAGTTTAGGGGTTTTTTTCGCTGTAAAAAGAAGTTTTCTTCCCACGCACGAGGACGCTAATGTTTTTGTCACTTTTTATGGAATCAAACTCAAAGTAAGGTCAGTACTTCCACGCTTTAAACGCTGCACGCTCATACTCTCTCCCACAATCGATATGTGATCCATTGTTGATCTGCACACAGCTGTTGTCACTAACGGCGCACTCGCTTACGTCACTGTCGTGAGACATTCTCGCAAAAAATCACGGTTTTAGTAACGCAGCGTTCCTACGGGAAAGTAACGGTAATCTAATTACCGTTTTTGCAATAGTAATCCCTTACTTTACTCGTTAGCTGAAAAAAGTTACTGCCCATCTCTGGACACAACCTCAAATCTTTTTATTGGCTGGTGAAAATATGATAAATAAATTCAAGCAGTCTTTGTAAAGTCCCATTCTTGAGCACACAATAAAACTCATCAGATTGCAGAGGACAGCTTGTGACAATTACTGATTGGTATACAGTTGTATTTCACAATAACGTAAAACGTGTAGAATACTAGTTGGATCACAAAAACAGTATATATGAGTAGTAGTTTAATGTGAATGGAACAAAATGATGGACTTTCCAGTAAAAACTCAGGCAAGCAGGATCAGGCAATCTTTGTCTGAAATTTTACTGGGTAGAATTATTAGGACAGCAAAAAAAAGTGTTAATGTACTCTCAGGGATTCGATGAATGCAGCAGATGAGGTTCAGATTCAGAAAGCCAACAAATAGGTCGGTCAGCAGAGATTTTGACTTGCCATAGCAGGAAAAGCACAGGTGTAATTGACAACATTAAAAATGACTGGATTCTATTTAGGTGAGCGAGCTTGAAGGATCCTGGTAATCTAATCCTCAGCTGTGGCTTCCTGCCTGGGACAGGGACTGCAGCTGAGCCACTGTTAAGAATATTTCCTGCTATGACAAGTGCACAAATCTGCTGTGAAATGGGTTCATTGATCATCACTTCACCTTAATGTCACCACTGCAGCTGTGTCATGGGAGTGTGCACAACCCCCCTCTCACACAGCAGAATGCTTGTCTTGTTTTTCAGTGCCACTGTAGGAGAAACGTCTAGTTTGTGTGCATGGTAAAGACTATAATTGATCTTAATTGAGGCTCTGCCTGTTTGGTTTTTTTGCTACTTCAGCATAAATATTAAGAAACGAAGTATTTGTTGTGCCTCTCGTATCAGAGTTCAAAGTTCTAGGTAACACCTTATGATACGGCTCGCAATTAAGGGCGCAATTCCCGGTAATCAAATGGAATTTCTGTGGGTTTTATTTGAAATGATAATGTAATTATATTTATCTACAAATACTTAAAGGTAGGTACACTTGAATGAGGGGATAACAATTCAGGATTTTATAGGAAACAAAGAAATAATTATACTGCAAGTAAATTTCAGTACAGTGTAAATAGTGTCTTAGGTCATAAGTACACTGTGTTTTTCAAGGCGTTGGCCGTATTATGGAGTGGATTAATCTTGCCTTTTGGGATCCTTTTTCAATATTCATCATGTTGATGTGCACGATTGATGTTCTCTTATTCAGCTGTTATTTTATTTGATCTAAATGAGAACTGCTCCCCCTCAGCAATTTATAAGAGAAAAAAAATAAATAAATACTGTCAAAAATTTGCCTGTGACCTCATCATGATGGACCGAAATCTAACTTAATTAATTTTCTTTTTTTTCACAATTACTGTTCAAACATCTTTCAAAGTGAGTGTAAAGGAATAAGTGTCCTTGGTGTCTCCTTTCCCATGAAATACCTGTAAAGTACCTGGAAGTTAGACAAGGTTAAGTCACTCCATAATACAGCACGCACCCCGAAAGGTACAGCATACTTACAGTGAAATGATCAGTTACGGCGCCTTCAGAAAAGTAGGGCTACCATCTCGCAATGTGACAAATAAACAAAATAAACTAGATTAGGTTGAAGTAAGATAGCTAAAGAAAATTTTTGTCATTCCAGCCAAGCAGAAACTCTGCTTATGTTGCAGCTGAAGCTTGGTTGCGTGATGTTTCCTGCAGATGTTCATCAGCCACGTGAAAGAGGGCGTAGCATGAAAACAAATGGCGAAGAATAAACTGTGTGTCTTGGCTGCGATTCAATAGCTGTTATTGCTCTGAAATCTGCATGCAGGGCTCGTTTCAGTACTCTGTATTCATTTCACATTATCGTACCTTTTCTGTTCTTTCCTCAGATGACTACCCAGCAACCATCAATGACCACCACAGCCCCTCCTCTATCCCCATTTGTCCCAGCCCTCGAATCCTTACTGGCTGCCCCGTTCCCACTGTGCCTCCAGCCGGCCAATCAGTGCCCCACATCCAGACTCCACTGTCTGACCCCAGCCAACCGCAGCCTCCGCTGAAGGTGGCAAAGGAGTGTCCACAGAGTGCCAAGCAGCCCAGCGGGTCAAGGTCTGGCGCGCGCAGCACCGGCAGCATCAGCTCGGCTGTCTGCCCTCTCAACAGGAACAAGAAACAGAAGCTCAGCTGTGCCAGCGACGGAGGGCAAACGGTTGCCAAGCAGCCGAAGAATGGCCGCCAAAAATCCACCAACGGCTGGAGGCCATTTGGCCTGTCCTTTGAGAAGGAGGTTTTCTCTGTGGTATGTAGAGAAAGTCATTTTGGTGCTTTTTGACACAGCCACAATGGCACCACTTTTAATTAGAGCTGATGTAATTTTACTGAAGTGTCCTGAGAGAGTATGGGGGGTGATTCATAACACCTGTTTCACTGTTGGATCAGGGCTTATTCACTATTTTTTACTACATTTTATCCAGCAACCCCGACAACCAAGGCGCAGAAGCCATTCAATACAAATCACATCCTGCAGCTTTTTACTCCACAGCCTCTCAAAGCTTATCAGTTTCTGACTGCTAGAGGAGTCAGTATTTCCTGCTGCTGTGTTCCCAGGGAGAGGACACTTTGGTGCTGAGGAAGTGCTTTGAGGGAGTCCACAGGGACGGGGAGCTGATTAGAGTCAGAGACACTGTTCTGCTGAAATCTGGACCTAGAAAAAAGTCTCTGCCTTACGTGGCTAAGGTCTCAGCTCTGTGGGAAGAGCCAGAGTCAGGTAGTATGCTCGCTGTACGCAGCATTTACTCAGACCACACGAGAAGACGCATTTATGTGGTAATAACTGGTTTGAGAAGTGAAGTTAAAGACGTGCTATGTTTTACTTTTTTTCTTTCCTTCAGGAGAGCTGATGATGAGTTTGTTTTGGTACTACCGTCCAGAACACACACAGGGAGGACGCAACCCCAGCGTACATTGTGAGGTGAGAAGGCTGACGTGTGTTTCTGAAATGCTTTTTTTTTTTTTAACCACGGCTTTCTAATAACTGTCAGGGGTAATTATAGACCAGCAAATCTAAAATATAGCTTGTGTCAACTGCAGCATATTCAGCGCCTGTAATCATGGCTATTAGTGATGCACAGGTCGAGCCAGTTCACGTACGTTTAATAGAAAGCATCACCAGTTCTGGCGGGAGGAGTTAAATAACTCACAGAAACACTATGTGCAATATGCCAGGCTCTGATTACTACCTTCGTGTCTCCTTTATCTGCATATCTCTCCTTCTCTGAGACATACACTGAAAGGCTCAAGTCCTCCTATGGCCTAACAAAGCTATAAAGTAGCCCAAATGTCTATTAAGATGGGAGAACAAGAGGATCAAAGAGACTCTCTGATACCTTAAGTGCTCATATAATATCCTTTTAATGCTGCTATGATCATTCAGCGCTGCTGAAATTGCACCAGAGGCCAATCCGCTGCCTCTATAACAAAGTATTTTAGGGGAAACTTGACTTTAGGTCCACATTTTACTGTTTGGTGAAACACACTCTACTCAGAAGCTACAGCGATATATAATTCGAGGTCATGTAACTTTAAACGGCCTTGCTTTGTAGTGCACTGCGAGGAAGTTTGGAAAATCCTGCCTGCTGCATGATCCATAATAATCTGCATAATTATTTAAACTGCATAATTTCCATGTAATTTTTACTCGCCTCTTTGATGCACTTCTAGTAGCTGGATCAAATGGAATTGTAAAATTAGTGTTGGCGCGGTTAAGGTTACGGCACGGTTCAAGGTGGATCCAGGTGTTTGACTGACACATATTATTGTGGGTTTCCACACTCTCACAACAAGCAGGTTGAGTGCTGTGATTTTAAAAAAAGGGGAAAAAATTGTAATCCATGCTTAACTAATGGCTGTAATGTGTGCTTCGTGCTGGCTTTCTAAACCAGAAGAGATTTTAGATACTATTAATGAATATAATGACTCTTATTATAGTGTTAAATGTGTTTTCTATTGTCAACAACACATGTTATGTAAACTTTAAAACACAGAAAGAAAGGGAACACGCTAAAATGCTTCTCTAATTATCCAAAACCTGATGATGTAGTTTATTTTAAATCCTGCTGATTTAATATTTAAAAAAATGCACTAAATGTGTATTAATCCAGGGCTGCAGATTGTTCCCAAAAAGTATGCTGTCTACTTCTGTTAAACCACCAGCTGCTTACAAAGTACAGTGAACGGTGTTTTAGGAAAAATTCAGCAGTGTATTTATAGCAGGCTGTAAGCTGTTTCTCACTCAAATACCAGTGTAAGGTGTTCACCTTCACTCTCATTGGCTCATTGTCTTGCCCAAGGACATTAAGTATATTTCTTTGTATTGGGACACCTTGAACTGTGTTACAGAATAAGAATAACCATTGTATCAAAGCAATGAATGCACAGTTGTACAGTACAGTGCAAAAGTCTTAAATCATCACTATTTTTTGTAAAATTTTGCTATGAAATTATTTATCACTGCAAAGATTTCTTATGCAAACTTACATGGAAATACAACATATAAGGAAAAAATATAGTTTGGATAATTTTAACAAGCTTTAAAGTCAATATTTGGAACTCTCTTATCCAAGCTTTCCTGTCATTTCTTTAAGCGGTCTTTAGGAATAGTTCTCCAGGCGTCTTGAAGAACATTCAAAGCTCTTTTTTGTATGTTTGCTGCCTTTTGTTCCGTTACAGATGGCTCTTTTCTCTTTTGGCCTTTTCCTTCTGTTTCCCCTTCTTAAGACTGGCTTCTTGACAGCCACCGTTCCCCTGAGACTATTTCTGATGAGGCTTCAGTGAACAGTAAAGCAACTATGGGGCCAGATTAATCTCTGAGGTCCTGGGTCAGGTCCTTGCCTTTTTCCTTTTTCTTAAGGACTTTCAGAGACTGTTCACCTCCTACCACTTTTTCCTTTGTCCTCCCATTGTGCAATTTACTCAGATTTTTTTAAGGACACATTGCACTGCACCGAGCAGAGGCACATCAAGTTTTTGGCTAATAGCTCTTTGGAAATCACCTTGTTGGTGCAGAAGTACTATTTTTATACCTGTCAGTGTGGGTTATTCTTGGCTTTTTTCACATCTTCAACTAAGAAAATTGGAACAAATTATATGTTTTTGCAATAAGCAGATAGTAACAAAGTGACTGAAGATAACATTTAAAGCGGGTCTTTGTTAACTTTCTGTTATGTGTAAACACAACAATGGTGTATCTCTTGAGTTAGAAGTCTTTTTATTGCAGTGTTAAGTAACTCATCAAACAACAACAACAAAAATTCCTCTGTAAATGGTCAAGTGAAAAAGCAGCTGATGTACAAAGAAAAACTTTGGAAGACCTTCCTAAAGCCTGGAAAACCTTTGCTGAAGATAAATCTGACTCCTTAGAAGCAAAAGATAAAGAAATGAAAGGTGGCTTAACACTTTTGCACAGCACTGTACGCTCGCGGACGGAACGCGTCTCTATTGTGTTCGCGTCCTGATGTCAGTAATCTCCCAGAGGAACGAGTTCAATTCACTGTCTAGAAACATTAAACCGCATGAAGTCTGTCGACTCTCAGCGTGCGCTGACAGACAACAAACACATCAGAGCAGCAGTGTGAGAACGGGAACACGGCTTTGTCACAGAGGATGACGTACAGCATCTTTCTCTGCAAATCTGGAAGTGAGGATGAGGCAGGAGGGATTGTTTAAAATTTAGAAGAGAGATTTAGTTTTTAAAGTCCCACCCGCTACTTTTTTCTTTTTCTTTCTACATGTAAGAGGATATCATGATGGGGTTTGTTTGTTTGGGCTTTTTTGTATGGATCTAACCCGAGTGTCTTTCTCTAGAATGAGGTCTTTGCATCCCGTCACCAGGATGTGAACAGTGTGGCCTGTATCGAGGACAAATGCTATGTCCTAACATTGGCACAGTATTGTCGGTAAGCAGGAAAGCATTTTTACTTTCTGTCGTGTTCTTAATTTCAGGTAGTTTTGAGCCATTAGGGGTGTTTTTGAGGTCAGTTTCTCATGTTGTGTTTGTTTCCTGTCCAGATTTTGTGCCTTGGTAAAACGCCGTAGAGAAGGCGTCAGCGACAGCGCCGCCTCCCTTGTAGTGCCCCCTGTTGTTGGAAACGCCATGCCCACCCACCACTGTGTGCCCGATGACACTGACCCAGAGCTGGTGTTTTTCTGTCGACACGTCTACGACTTCCGCTACGGACGCCTCCTCAAGAACCTGCAGTAGTACCTGACGAGGCATGACATCACATTACACCCCGGTTTCATCTGCCACAGATTCTCACTGGCTGCCTCCGTGAGAGAGGAACTGGAGTTTCGGACGACGGCTTGACAGCTTATTTTCTTTTCAGTCTCTCATTCATGCTTACATGTCACGCATTTATTAAGTAAACTAATGGTTTGACGTAATATATAAGAGTTGCTATGGCAGTGTAAATCTTTTTCTTTTATCATACATGGCTCTCTGGTGTTGTAGCAGCTGTGTGAAGAACCTGGAACGTACTCTGCTGTAGAAAAAGCTACTGTAGCTCTTAGAAATGTGAAATTTGATTAGATTGCCGAGAACTCGATGTTTCATGTGAATAATGCTACTATCTGCCTGACAGACAACAGATAACACAAAGTATCTTGATATGCCATAGATAATGAAAATATGTGGCATATTGTGCCACACCGGATGGTGCAGCTGAAGACTTAATCGCATCTTTTTTTCACTCAGTTTATTTCTGCTGCTTTGAGCTGCACTGAGTCCATTTGATAGTGAAAACATGGCGTTTTCTACTGACACGGCATATAGAAATCTTACTGTAATGCAGCTGTGTTCATGCTGTTCTGAGAAATAGTGATAGTCTGGGAAATGTGCTTGCTTGTGATAAATAAGAAGGAATCAGTTTCATGTCTGTTTAATCAAAATGAAATAATCACCAGCAGCTGGTTAGTATAGCTTAGCATAAAGTCTAAGTCTGACTCTCGGGGCAATAGTCGGATACTATATATGTAATTAGCAGCTGTCAAGGGCAAGAACACCTGTTCTGTCAGAGGTTTATCGACTGCATGCGACTACAGATCAGTTTTAAAGAAGCTAGGTGTGTTTCAGTAAATCAGCAATCCCTATTTTTCCCCCTCTAAATGCATGCAGTCGAAGCATGCTCAAACATGATTGGTTGATAGAACGTGGGCTACAAGCAGACTACAAATATCTGCATACATATCTTTTTGGAGCGATTGTGCTAAGCTTAATTAGCTGCTGGCTCCAGCTGTGTGCTTACAACGTATACAGAGAGTGTTCTCATCCAAATCTCAGCAAGCAAGCATGTGAGGAAGTTTCCCAAATATTGAAATTGACATTTTTGTCTAATGGTGATTGATTTTGGAGAGCTTTGCAGCGCGCCCCAAAGATAGCCATGAAAGACATTCTCAGTCAAACGGTTTGATTGAATCTAATTAGCAGTGAAAAAGTATAACAAGAGTGAGCAATTAACGGTTTTTTGGCTTCTTCTCTACTTAAGTTTTGAGAGAGATGCAGGTTTTATTCCGTATCTGTATCTGTAGTGAAGACACGGGCATGCTAACCGCTAAAAGACAGCGAGAGTTTAGTTTGCTTGCTTTCACATTGCGAGGATCAGCCGAGCATTAAAGGGGATTTTTGTTATGCCAATGCCGAGGAATATTTAACTTTTTCAAAGCTGTTTACCAGAGGTGTGATTTGACTCCGGTGTCAGCGTACTGTATATTTGCATTTAAATATCTGGATGGGTGTCTGTTAGTGGCAGATGGCATCAGTTAGTCACGTATATTCTTGTTTCTTCACTGATGAGCTGGTGAATAATGTAGTCAGTGTAGCATTTAGATCTGTGATGATGATTCGTTCCTATGTTTGAGAAAAGATATGTATTTATGTCTGTACTGAGAAAATATATAATTTATTTTCAAAAGATCATTTTAAAGAGTTTTAGATGAGTGGCTTGCATTCCTGATTAGAAAGGAGGCTGACGATGTCTCTCCGTAGCTGCACTGTATAAGTGTGAGAGTCTTTGCAGCAGTATTTCTGTGTTTCAGCTCGCTTACCCAATACAAGCTCGTGCAATTTTGCTTTGAGACACTGAAGTAGGCAATAGGCAGATTTGACGACACATATGGAGTATTTGGAAGGATCTCAGATGCGGTTTGAAGGACATGCGCTAACATGTGACCAGAGATGCTAAACCTTGCAGGACCAAAATGTACCCTGGCCTTTTCCAGCTTCCTGTCATCCTCCTTTTCATTTCCCCTGAGATGGTGAAGCTTTGCCTCTTCACCTTTAAATGCCGATTGCTTCACTGATTTTAACTTACCATTAGCCTGTGCCCTGGATCTTTGCTGCCTTATAGAACATTCCCAGCCTTTTATTTAGTAACGTGTATTGATCACAGTCTGGAGTTATGAAGCTAGTAAGTGCGCTGATCTTGATTCCTAGATGCTTGACATGTATTTCAGTGTTACCTGTGATCTTATGTGACCTGAAAGTCCATCTTAATCAACATTTTTATTGAGAGTGATGTTTGGTATCAAACTACTTAACTAGTTGAGAGTAGATGAGGATTTTTTTTTTCTTTTTTTGGAGAAACTAACTTTTTACAGAGTGTGGTATGACAATACTGACAATTCTTTCATATCAGTACTTTAAATATAAAGCAGAAGCTAGTTAGCTTAGCGATCTATAACGCTTGGAAGTGGGAGCGGGCGGTAGAAAGCCAGATGCACCCTTATCATCTGTGAGCATAATAGGTAACATTATGTATGTAATTTGTTTAGTCTGTATAAATCAAAGTGTTATAACAAATTTCTTGTTAGCAAATTTTGTGTTGTTTTTGGTTTTATGCTAGGCTAAGCTAAGCTAACCAGCTGGTTACGGATTCATTTCTTACATGCAGACCTTAGAGCATTCTGCCATTGAAAAAAAAAATGTTTTTTTGCCATCCATAAGTCACAATTTGGGGTTATTATGCCATTCAATTCAAAGTTAAGAATCTTAATTTTAATTTATTAATTCAAAAAATATCAGAAAATAACTCAAAATAATTATAAAAAAAACACCTTCAAACTTGAAGTTAGGTCAAAACTTTGAGATAATAATCCACTTTTTTTTTTTTTTTTTTACTTAGTAAAAACATATTTTTAAGTGGCATAAACAAGCTTCCATACTGTTTTTTTTTTTGTTTGTTTGTTTGTTTGTTTGTTTGTTTTTTGGTAACTCTCCACAAGAAAGCTTTGTTCACAAAATGTCAATCACCTGGGGCCAAGCAGCAATGCAAAATTTGGCACATTGATTGGTGTCACTGATTGTTTTATTCTTTTCGTATCACAGCCCATTATTGACTATTTGTGCATTATATTATATATACCTGTTTTTGTTTTGTTTTTTTGTTTGTTTGTTTTTTTAGATTTATGGTCTTTATGAAAAGCCAAGCAGGATATCTTACCATAACTTTGATTTATCCATGCAAAGATCAGTATGTGGATTTGGGACCCCATTTGAAGGAAACATTAAAAAAAACTTGCCCATTGATCATTGGAAGCATTCTAATAAATAAATTCTTCTTTCTCTTGCAAGTCCCAAAGCTAACCACTTCACTGGAATTTTTCCCAGGTACAAATTCTTTGCAATCCTAACCAAAATTGTCAGTCTTCAGACCGAATATCAAAAGATTTACCAGATGGATTTTCAATTTCTCAAACTGCTTTTCTGACAGAAAGTGGAATCTCATCTCAGCTACTGTTTCATATAATGACACGAAATTTCATTTGGGGACTTTTCATGATTTTTGCTACAATAAGAAAAAGAAAAAAGCCACGTTTTATACTCATATCAAGAGGTTGTTGTGACTTTGTCCTGCTAAACCGCTTGGCTCCCTCCTCACTGCTTTAACTTGGTAGTTTAAGCCTTCCTGAAAAACATAATAGTTAGCTTGATTTGTATCATTTCTTATAAACATTAATTGATGCAAGTCATCATGGTGAATAAACTGTGTCAAAATGTCCAGAGAAGCTTCCCTAAACCACGTTATCATAATAAACCTCTCAGTGTATGTTTAATAAGTTCCATAAATACAGATAAAAAGACATTCGGACAAACATACTCACACTCAACACGATAACACAAGGACATATGAGCTGACTAAGCTGCTGATCTACACGAAGGAGGCGTTACACCTGACCTACAAGCACAGTAGTATTTGATAGTCAAAATTTTAGGTGGGGTATCACTTTAAAATGCCCACATCCCACCTACATCTCCTTTGCTCCTTATCCTCTGTAAGTGGCATAGACATTTTTTGTTTGTTTGAATTCAGAAATAATTTAAATAGATGTCTCATATTCATTTATTTCTGTTTATTTCAATTCATCTGAATTTAAAACTATTCCATGCTATTTTAATATGTCCCGATGACTTAAATATTATCATGTCTTTATTCAACAAACGTTTTAAAAAAAAATCCTGAATATTGCTTGATGGTGTATGAAGTATAGCCAACTTGAATCAGGTGAAAATATTTGGTTTGATTTGGTTCAACAACTTAAATCCAGAATTAGAAAACCACACCACGCACATTTTATGGCCTTAGGAATCACTCAGCAAACTAATTATGTTTAATCAAGATGTGTGATGCTTGTGTCTTAATTGGTCCTCTGTGCCTGTTCCCATTATCCTGTATTACATGTATTCCAAGAATTTTCCACAAAGAAAAGTACAAATAGTTACTGTAGTTTTTGCGTACCTTTCAAATGCCTTTCACTTTTCATCAGATGACACAGTTCTTGGTATTGAGCTTGAATCACCACAAAGAAATGCTTTCACCAAAAAGACTAAGACTAAAAGAGGGCAGGGGATTAAACCATGAATTGAACTTCATTCCCAGGTGTACTTCTTATGTGAATTTGTTTGTTTCTTTGCATGGCTTTTTTTTTGGAAATATCTTGGAAATATTAATCACAGCACAGATTATTTGTATGGTTTCAAATGGACCTGTAATATAAGAAAAATATTTAATTGTAATAAATAATATATGAGTTTGAACAAGCTTCTGAGTTTTTATTACCTACACATATGTTATTATGGATGCAGTAATGCTTCTTGCCCACATGGTGGCCCACTTGGACAATTTTTTTTAAAAATATCTGATTTGTTTTTCAATAAATTAAAAAGTCATTGCAATAATCAAAGCACAGACTTACTAAAAGGTTTCAGAGATAAATATTAATGTGTAACATGCATATGTGGAAAAAGGTAAACACACAAACCTACATAATCATGGCTGATCTCGTCTCTTTCAGTCTTTTTTTTTTCTTTACATCAGTTTTTATTGCATATTTGATTTGATTTGATTGGAAATCACAAGTAAAATATTTTTTACCATGCATAAAAATAATTTAGCCTCAAATCTTTCTCTTTTGTTTGTGCTTTTTGTTTCATTCAATCCCCTTTTTCAACTGAACTGGATACAAGCCCTTTTGTCTGTTGTGCTGCATAGATCATGATGGAAAAGACAAGAGAGGCAGCATCTCGAAAGGAGCCATGAGGAGATATCAGTCATCTAACTTCGATAATTAGGCTTGTGATGAATATGCATGATGCCTCTGGCACAGCTAAATTTGGTTCTGAGATTTTAAATGGCATGAGCAGGTAAGTGATTTGCATCTGTAACAGCAAGCATGTGTGAGTCAGAAAGCTCATCTGCTTCAGCTCACACACTGGGCTATTTAGTGTGATTACATGTCTGTGTGAATGGCATTTATATAGTCATCAGTCTGTATATGATGTGAATTCTCAGTGGTTGTGCAGCAAATTCCTGTTATGACTATGTTACTGTCTTTACTGAATATCTGGACTGACTGTCAGTACAAGATTTATGGTTCCCAAATAAGGCTTAATGCAGTTAGGGAGAGAAATCAGTGGATCTGAAGCAGTTAAATATTAGGAATAAATAGTTTTAGTTTCAAATACACACACAGAGTCAGAAAGGTTTGAAAGGTAATGGATAGACACTTATTGGGTTAAAGCAGCTACAAGTACTAACCAGTTAAATTGCTTTGCAAATAGCACTAGAAATGATTTGTTAGTCAAATGCGAAGCAGTTTAAACAAAAGGGATAAATATAGCTGAACAATTCTATGGTGAAAATGTCTAAAATTGACACATTACCAGTTAAAATAGAAGTAGAAAAGGCACTAATTAAATAGGAATGAGAAAATCTGTGGACTCATGGGTCTCTTTCAAGAAACAACTAAAAACCCATCTTTGTAGACTAGCATTTAGTTAACTCTTTTTTTCTCTTTTTTACTGCTCTGGCATTTTGTTGTGAAGCACTTTGTGATCTTTGACTTGAAAGGTGCTATACAAATAAAATTTTACTTGGTGTTAGCTCCCACTGAGATATCGTATCACTTCATGTTCCTATTAAAGCACACAGTGGTGTTTTATGTAGCCTGTTTAATTAAAAAAAACAACCTTTAGATAACAACATAGTGTCATATCCAGGTGCTTTGTCTAGAGCACACTCTGCTGAATCACGTGCTATTTATATTCACAGTATTCTGTCTGTAAGAATTCGATAGCTTAGCTTAGCTTGTAGCTGAGTCACTAGCAACATGGTTTTTTTCACCTGTCCCTTACACACTTTCCTATTTAGTAGCAGCTGTTAAGCTTATTGTTGTTGTTAAGCTTCCTTATTACAAGCATCATGTTAGTTTTAAATGTAGCCTGTTTACCGTTCTGGAGGACAGGCTCTGTACTCTGGAAAATTCTGAAGCTAGCCACCAACGATAGCAGATTGTCTGGGCCTGGTAGATTTCTTTAAATAACAATTTACATTAGGGTATTGACACCCAGTTACGTCAGTCGGAGGTCACTAAAATTCATAGTGAACAGGTGTGTAGTTTTGCCAGAACAATGTCTCTCGGACTGTAGTTTTTTCTGGTCTTCTCTGGTGTCCAGGAAAACTCTTTAGAGATAACTGAAAGATTTTCTGGGAAAAAACAGGTCATGTTATGAGAGATGTCCGCCATAACATTTTGGATGCAGCACTCATTTGTAGAAATCTGACTAAATTTGATGACCCCCAAAAAACATGACTATCCAGAGTTGGGACCAGAAAGCAGAGTTGATCCAAAATGCTGCAGCAAGAGTGCTGACAGGGACTAGAAAGAGAGAGCATAATCTCCCAGTTGGCTTTTCTTCATTGGCTCCCTGTTAAATCCACTCAAATTTCAAATCCTCTTCTTCACATACAAGGTCTTGAATAATCATAACAATAATAATTGGGCATTTAATCATTAGTAATTATTCATCTCTGGTTGTCTTATGTCTTTTGTCCTGTCTTTCTCATAGTGGACATTTATTTGTTGGGGTATTCTCTGTATTATTATAGGGTCCTGAAATACAGTATAAAGCACCTTGAGGCAACTGTTGTTGTGATTTGGCGCTATATAAGTAAAATTTAACTGAACTGAAAGAAAGTGAAAATTGGAAGGGCAAAAAGTTGAAAGAGTCAAACACATGTTGGCAGTATTTAATTTATAGAAGCTGACAAAACTCCGTAATAAAAGGTTGTGTGTTAAAACAGTTTTTTGGGGTTTTTTGGGGTTTTTTTGTGTCCCGTTTGGATCTTTAGCCATCAGAATTGTTGTCTTAAGGCCAAGAAAGATGCCAAGCGGATTTATTTTACCAAGTGGATCATCATGGCCTTGCCATATTGGTCCATTTGATTGACCTTTATTATAATTATGAATTTATTTTATTTTCGGTTGCTACAAACAGGACAGACATGACTGGGGGATAGGACAGGGAGAAAGAATGAAAGAAAGAGAGGGAGAGAAAGAAAATCAAAGGGGAGAAGATGTGTTAAAACAGTTTAATCATAATGGATCGAGTACCATGCAAAAGTCTTGATCTGCCTATATTCTGCTAGGACAATAAAAAATAGGCGCATGATTTATTGAAACATGTAAAAACATACATAGAAATGCAATATATAGACAAAAACTGAGTTTGTACAGCTCTACTGAGTTTGAACTTTAGTGTGACCATCTTTATTCTTCAACACAGCCTGAACACCTTTATGTAAGTTTTCTTGTCATTTCTTCAATGGTCTTCAGGAATAGTTATCTGGGACTTCCAAGCTCTTCTTTGGAAGTTGGTTTGTTCCTTTCTCTGTCTGATCCCACAGCACTTCAAAAACATTGACATCTGGGCCCCAGGTGAAGTTAGTCCAAGAATGATACTACTCCACTGTGTATTTTTCTATTCAGGTGTCCTTGCACTGCACTGGCAGTGTGTCTGCGTTCATTGTCATGCTGAAAAATGAAGCTATTGTCAACCAGGCGCTTTCCATGTGGTATTGCATGGTGAGTCAAAATCTGACAAAGACAATGGATAAAATTGTTCTCCAATAATTTGAACTTTTTTGCTTAAAAATCGTCACATTAAACTAATTTACTATGCTTAAATGTCTTTTTCCCCCCCGGCTATTTGAATCACAAAAATATTTTAAAAACTAAATCTTAGTGAGTAGTTGAAATTGTTCAAAATGTACAGTTGAACTTGATATTTTGCCAAAGTAGCTGTAAGTTAGTACAAATGTAAACTTTACAAACCCAGTCTAATTATTTAAATGAAAAAAAAGGACTTGAGTATAGGTATAAATTAGTACATAGATGAATCAAAGCTTGGTACAGCCTGACTTAGTCACACCTTTTACGATAACAGGCTGTAGTCAATCACAAAAATGACCATTTAAGGAACAAGATCAAAGTAAAAAATGCTTTTTTCTCTAAATTTTCTCCAACAAAAGATTTCCCCTCGTCCCAAAACTGTCCAGAAAGGTGAAGCAATTGCCTCAAATGGGATTTCCTTACTATATATCTTGTCAGATAGCTGCAAGAAATGTGGTAAGAGCAAGTGGATTTTGCTCGAGGTCCTGAGGTGTTTAAATTACACACCTGTAAGGCTTTCCGCTGCCTGACTCAATCCAATTTTGCACTGCTGTCTTTTGAACCTTTGTAGTGTTCTACACTCTGATGTACTGACTCACAGGCACAGGGGCTTCATCTTCTGGAAAGTTCCAGATTATTGTGGCAATTGGTCTTGAGTTGATTCTGCTGAGGGGCAGATTCTCCCAGAATTTATTCAAAGCCTGTTTTTCCTGCTGCTGTTATATCTCTGCAAAATCCTCTTCTAATGGTTGCAGAAGCTGTTACTTCTCTGCTCTTCAGCATTTTCTTGCTCCCTTAAAATGCTCAGTAATTCTTTTTTTAAAAACTACTCTCAACATTGCACCCTCCAGGTAAGGATTGTTTTGTTTTGTTTTCTCTCTCTCTCTTTTTACTAAGAGTCTTGTAAGTCTAGAGAGAGAAAAAAGCACAATACAGTAGAAAGTGAAAGCCTGTAAATTGTTTTCTTCAGTTTAAAATGCCCCGAAAGGTTATTTCAGAGTTGTGTCATTTGTTGTATGCTGCTTTTTTTTTTCTTTCAGTGAGAGCAGACATCAAAACCATATCCTAAAGTCTTTTATAAACCAATTTCTGTTTTCTCTGCATTATTATAGGTCTCAGGATGCAGCTGCTTCATTTTTATTCTGAATATTTTAAATGTATAGAGTTCATTGTAACAATCGTCAGATCATAAGCATGAAAGGGGACCCGGAAATTATAAACACGGTCGATCAATGTCAACAACATGACAAAGATGATTGTAAGGGCAGCACACATTTACATTCAGATGAAGGTCGTCCTTGACACTTCAAGGCTAAGCAGGAAGCACAAAGTTGCAGTGTGCTGCATGTGGACAGTTGTTGCCATTAGCAGAGATGACCACTGTTGTGTTTCTGTGATAAGATGAAAAGCTGTCTCCTCTTTATCTTCACTTGTCAACTCATATATTCACACAGCAGTCTGCTTTTGACATCAGCTGCTAAAATATACACTTTGCGCTCTGCAAATTGCTCTTGAAAAGCACTGTGTAAAGTGTCTAATCAGCCGCTGCACCACCATGAATTGCAAGGCGCTTTTTTGTGTGAGATAAAATCTGAGAAAGTGATCTCAAGAAAAGAAGCCATTTAGTTAGTTTCAAATGAGACGCATTAGATGGTTTTCCTTCAATAATCTTGTTTTCAAAAAATCTTTTTAGCTTGGTAAAAGAATATGTGGAAACAAAGAAACTATGTTTGATTAACTTTTCCTTTTGCAGATACCAGTCTGGATAATTGACTGTGCTATTTTCTGATATAATTTCACATTAAAGGCTTTAGACACCAGACACAGTCACAAACACTGCTAATGCTTTTCAGTTGTGTGAGGTTGTTTTTTTTAACAGAAATGTCTTTGTGATGAGACAAAAAGCCTTTCTCAAACAATCTTTCAAAAACACGATTTATATTTAATGGCGTTGCTCTTTTTATGAAACCTATTTGTTTCATAACAGTAACTTGGGTGATGAGTAGCAGTTTTATTATTTTTAATCTAAATAAAAACTCTGTTTCTTTGCTTGATAGGTGATCTCAAAAGCTGTTTGAGAGAAAAGTAAATCAATATTTACCCAATAATGAATTTGGAGCTTCATTTGTGCCAACATTCACACTTTTTATAAGCGGACATCTCTTAAGTAGTCGAGGTGGCAAAAGGCAGTCAACAAACAAGGTCGGAAAATGCAAACACATTTATTTTAGGCAGGATTTCCAAACTTCCTGTTCTATAGTTATCTATGGAAGGTCTCTGTTGTGTCTTTATTGCAGTTGTGTAATGACCAGCACACATTATGCCTTTTCTCGCTCCCTTTCTCTCTGGCTCTCTCGCTCATCGGTTCGGCTTTGACATTTAAAAGTGCTGCAGATCTCGCACAACGTAGTGTTTGCCAAATGCCACAGCTATAGTTGAACATTTGAAAAGCGCTCAACGATTCAAGGCCAGAAATGAATGATGGAAATACGGTATTATTTATTTCAGAACCGCTTCGTGTTCCTTAACAAAATGGAAATGAATGAATGAGGAAAAGATGGTTTGAATTACCCTCTTTACTGAGCAAAATCCAACAAAGCATATTTACTACTACACGTGAAGTATGCACAGAAATAACCTAATGCACAGTCTTTCAAGGTGGAGGTGAATAAACATCTACATTAGTTCAACACATTGTTAAAATGGCTTGCGTAAAGATCCTGTAAGGTTGGTGTTAAAATGCACAAGAATCTAATTATGGAGAACCATTACACAAAACACTTGCAACAACAAAAGCAAAGTCAAAGCTAAAAGTGGCTTTTTAAGCAAACAGTAGCATATTATTCAGGTTAATAAGCATCATCTACACTTGAATCCCCCCATAGCCAGCAGCACAGCAGTGTGGCTGTTGTATGTGAAAGCCTTACACCCCCATGTTGTGGGTTTTGGTGTTTTAACAATGACTTATCGTTTTACTCCTTTTGTCTGTCAGCATGAATGCTGACAAGATTACATCTGAAGTGCAGAAGAAGATTGTCTGGATCACATCTGGCTTCTTTGGCCTCATACATTCGACTGAGCTTCATATCATTCTTGTGCCCGTTTGTCCACAAAGTCACTTATGTGTAGTTTTCTTGAGGATCGGCATTATTTGCAACAACACCCGGCAAATCTGCCGCAATGGTGGAGGTGTAAAGGCGCGGCATTCTGTGAGACACCGTCAGGACGCTTGACCCTTGTCGCCTGTCTTTCGCTTTTCCTTTTCTCCAGGGCAGGAAGTGGAGACACAGGTAAGAGAGGAATTTGTTATGCAGCGAAGCATAAATGAATGGGTTGTAGCAAGCGGAGCTCATGGCAAAGAGGTGACTGGACACCTGGATGACGTTGATATAGTTCTTCCCCAGGATGGAGAAGTCTGTGTCCAGGTCACGGATCAGGTTCACCACCTGTGGAGTAAACATCGGTATCCAAAACATTAATTCAAGGAACAATTGCCATTTTTCTACTGCCAACAGATAGACTAGCAAAGAAATACAAATTAGAAAAAGTAAAATTGCTGAATTGGCACAAAAAAAAACCCCAAAAGAAAAGAAAAGAAAATGCCAATTTCTTCACCATCTAAAGAGTCTTTCCTGGCTGACTTGAAAACTCTAAACATCAAGTCACTGTACCCAATTGAACTGTCAGTTTGTGTGCAGACTGAGATGTGTTTATTGCTGAGGCAGACTGTGTTTCCTCTGGACAAAGGCAGGCTGGCTGTTTCTCCCTGTTTTATCCCTCCCTCAAAGTTAAGATGACCTGCTAAGATCTGATTCATAAGGTGGAACCTCTCCTAATTTAGATTCCCATATATTTGCATATTCTTCAAACCAGCAATCTCATGTTTTGTTCACCTGTAAAGGAAGCCAGGAGAAGGCAAAGCAGAGGACGGACACCAGCAGCAGGCAGAAGGTCTTCTTCCTCCGTCTGCTCCAGGTGGCCCGTGCAGATCTCAGCTCCGTGCATGCTGTCAAGCTCGAAGTCATCCTGTGTTTCAGCTGATAGGAAATGGCACAGTAGGAAATGGAGACAGCAACCAGTGGGACAAAGTAGGAGAAGAAGAGAATGAAACAGGAGTAAATGAGGCGACCCTGCTCCTGGCCATCCCAGAACTCCTCACATACAGCCATCTGCAGGCCTGCCGCCTGGAGGTCCAGGTAGACAGTGTGCAGTGCCGTAGGCGTGGATAAAGCCAGAGAGGAGAGCCAGATCAGAACTACAAGAACCCAGCAGAAGCGGTAGCTGGCTCTCTTTCGGATGGGATAAGCCACAACAACGTAACGATCCACCGCAATGGCCATGAGGGAGAGGACGGCCGCGTAAACAGCTGCGGATTGCATGACGGTGACAAAGTGGCACATGTGGGATCCAAACACCCATCCGCGCTTATCAAATGCATAGGACGCGGTCAAAGGGACGCAGAAGACGCACATCACCAGGTCGACGAGTGCCAGGTTGCTGATGAGAAAATTGGTCGTGTTGTGTCTTTTCTTATTGTGCCAGATGAGGAAGAGCAGGAGGAGGTTGCCAGAGCACGCAACCAGAACCACAGCAGAGTAGAGAGGGATGAAGATGAGCTTCAGGTTAAACAGGAGGTCGAGCCCAGAGAAAGAGGGGGCTGAGAACTGGGAGGCTGAGAAGATGGAGCGAGAAGAGTTGCAGCAGGAAGAGGAGGAGGACGAGGAGTCAGGCAAGAGCGAAGATGAAGAGGAGGCTGGAGTAGAAAAGTTCACCTTGGTTCGATTCAGTGATCTTTCCCAGTCCATAGCTGCGGAAATAACAAGCATATGTTGCATGACTCAATTAATATTTCTGTGTAATTTATTAATCAACATTTTGATTGAAGCCAGTATGGCAGCGTCTGGGTGTTTGAACATTTTAAAAGGCTAATTGAAGCTCATCTTCAAAACTCTCAGCACACATTTCTCTCTTTACTTCTCCAAAAGCCTTTCCAATTATCTTCGATCCATTATCTAAAGTATTGAAAAAAGGAAGAAAGCTCACATTGACTGGACGGATGATTTCTGGTTATGAAAAGCAGAAATCATCCTCGAAATCATAGTAACTTCTCAGAGGCGGTCATCCCACACATCTGCTGGAACATCTGCACTTATTAATCTAGGCTGACGTCAGTGATTTTTATTGTCGCTCAGAAATAAGAAATATTCATCAACTGGCATCACACAATCAGATGTTATGCAAGAGTGTGAAAATGGGCATGAATGCAGATTCGTTTCACATTCTGTCACTGCTGAATGAGAGACTTGGCTGTGAGAGAAGAAAAGAAAAACATCACTGAATAAAATGAGAGTGAAACCACAGAAAATTGTAAGATCAGAGGAGGAGTCTATGAATAACACCTGTAGTCAAAAGTGGGCTGAATGGTGTAATTTTGGCGTGAGCACTGGCTACAGTTTCAACTTTCATTGACATGAAAAAACGGCTACAAATATTGTTTCATCTAAAAAACTCACACAACCAAGAAAAGAAGACATTTATGCCCAAAATTCAGACTTTAAGTCATTTAATAACATGTACATTTTTCATGTAATTTTGTTACAATTTAATGTCTTTGATTTGGTATACATTAAGTTTATACCCAACACATTTTCCTTATTTTGTTTTGTTTTGCATTTTTATATATTAAGCTGCTGTTTTAATTTAAAAATATTGCATATTGCATTACATTAAGCAAATAATAGTAATAATAAAAATAATAATTAATGGGCCGACTGCCTCATTATGCGTTCATCATACTGAATGTGAACAATCATAAAAGTGTAATTTCCCAAGGAAGCTAATTAAATCATGATCAGAGCAGATATTCTTCCCTTACTGACTCAACCAAGTTCCTTATTGACCTTTTCTGATCAGGCCGCTCAGAATGATTCATGCAACCACATCTTCTCTAAGATACAAAAGGGATCCAAAATCATTCATAAACATGAATAGGATCAACCTATTTTTAACCTGAAGTGGTCGACCTCGGATTGAAAATTTATTTCCTCAAAAGGAAGAAGATCTGAGTCAAATTTCGCAATCAGCCACTTGGCAATTTTTCTGAAGTGCAGAGTAAATGAAAAAGTACCTGTTGGAGATATCAGATGCACCTGTTTGAGTCCTTTTCCTGCAGGGAGTCCCGCTGTTGTGCAGCCGCACTCATTTGCTGCAGCTTGTTCTGCTTCAGAATAAAGAGGTGCGCTCTTTCTCTCTCTCTCTCTCTCTCTCTCTCTCGCGCTCTCTCTCCCTCCAACAAGGCATACAGTAAAGGCTGAAGTGAGTGAGTGAGTGAGTCACCTCCAGTAAAATCATTCTAATCTCCTATAATGTTTCTCTTGGGGAGTGCATCTCAGCTAGAAAATGACAAATTTATGATGACCTTGAGCCTCTTTATGGTTTAATATCACTCATGACATCATTATAATTTTTCTAGTGGGACTTACATTATGTCTGAGATTTTATATACTCAAATTATGCCCTTTATGTTAACATTCCTACAGCATTCTCACTCGTGTTATCCCAAGTTTGGTCAGAAACAGGCATTGGGATGGAAACACCAAAGAGGTCCAAAATTATTATTTTGAATACGTTGTGCACCCCCGCCCTCCACGGAGCGGCATGAATGAAGGATCCTGCTGTGAGGTTCTCCACAAAGCGGACACTTTCTAGACAAAGCATTTGGGAAACAGAATACAAATTGAACAATTAAGATGTTTCTCCAGCAGTTCGCATTCATTATTCATAATCTCAAAACTAATTTGAAAAAAATTGTGAGTCTCAGTCAAAACCAGCATGATCGAATGATTCATCAAGGGTAATACCGAATGGCATTCATTGCTTGACTGTTTCGCTGCTTGAAGGGAGCACAGATCTTATTGTGAAGATAATTAAGATGCCCAAAAGTTCCAGTTAATCATATTCATGTGCAGAAACCACGTAGTCTCCAGATTTTCATCAAATTCAGAGCAGAAAGTGTGGCCACTATTTTAAAGTACTTGTTAGTATGAACTTCTTACGATGACATTTTAAGGCTCGAAATCTTCTAACATAAAGGTACGATATCATTAGTGTTTCAATTTCAATGGAGCTCTGGTAAGTGTTGCTTTGAAATGCTGCTTTTAACTAATACCGATATTTCCATGGCATTTACATTTTAATATTGATTGCTACAACATGGTAAACGATGAGGACATGGCCATTTTTCCTCCCTTTAAGAGTAAATTTAGCACTATTGGGAGAAGCTTAAAATCTGGCTTGTTTGGAGAGAAGACTCAAAGCACTGAACATACAGCCACTGTAATGGTTTTCTGTCTGTTGCTCATTTTTCTGTGTGATGTTTACTGTTAGGACACATCAGAACAGTTTAAAATAACACAGACTGGGCTGCTTTAGAGCACACAGCCTCTCCTTCCACAGACCACTTTTTCCCACTTTGATTTAACTTGGACACTGATGTGGACAGGGCTGTCGAGCTGGCCTTTCTTCAGTCTGATAAGTTCCTGTTGTGAAGGTAACAGTTTGTTCTAGCAGCATCCACGAAGTAATCAAATGGCGTACCACCTCAGAGTCTTCCTTTACGGTGACCACTCTAGTTCTGAATCACTTGTGCTTGTCATGTATACTATGTCCAAGTGTGGGAGACGTGACAGCTACAGGTGTTTAGCTATTTTTGGCTAATTGCTCTCTTTTTTTCACTGTGCCACCAGAAAGCACACAGCAAAACCTCACGTGTGTCAGAAAAAGCAAGCGGCCCCATTACGTGTCCTCCTGATGGAGCCTTTGTGGTGGGCTTATTTTCAGGTCCTAAACAGGGGTTCTGCTTGTTTGATGACTGAGTGCCAATTTAGGGAGACAGCATTCAGCTGAGGGCTGCAGAAGAAAAATGCACCCATCAAACAAACTAAGTGCAAATGTAATAATTCATGTATTAAATACTGAGCAGCCAGAAGTCTGTTCAGATTTGCTATTTTAGGTAATTTTGGAAATGTGTTGGTTGAAAGGATGGTGGTGGGTTATGGTGGTTTCGTCACACCAGTCATCACCAGTTGTATTTGGAAATACTTTTTAAACAGTTCATCTAGTTTGCACTGGATTAAATGTGCAGTAGTTCCTGCTGTCATTAGGTCTGTACAGAATGCTACTGAAGGCCACACTCTGACATTGAATACATTAAATACACAAGCAAACCACTGCTCCCCAGCGGGACACGGGAAACATACATACATGGATAAATATACATATTTGCTACAATCTAATCTGACGTCCCTTTCAGCGCTTGAGTGACTGTCAAATGTACAAATTTATACAATTAATATTTAATTCTGTAAATATTGAAGATATTGGCACAGTTTCTTATGCAACATTTCATCAAGATCTGTCCACTAATCTAGGAAAAGATCGGAAACATACAATCATTTATAGATAAAATACGATCATTACAGTATGGCGATGATGTTCAGTTCCCACATATCCACGCTTTACTGTGGAACTTACCAAATCATAAGCTAGTCCACCTCAGAGAAAGTTGCACTGAAGATATATCCCCCCAAAATGACAAAAACTTGCTTGTGTTGATATTAACAAAGAGATGCTTTTTTTCCTTCAGAGATTTTCTTTCTTCACCACATCCTGTTTATAGGAGCTCCACTAAGATGTAGCTGCTGCTACTGGGATTTAGTTCATTAACAAGGGACCTTGCTGGGAGGAATTTACTTCAGCTGTCTCAGTGTTGGGACTGTGACCATAGATCCCAATGCAGATTGTACTGAGGGTCTGCAGATTTGGACATGTAAGTTATATGCGACTAGGAATGGGTTTATAGTTGAGAGAGCCTCTGCTATATGCAGAGGTAGAGTGGGAGGCATCCCACTGAGAAGCTGCAGCAGATAAAATGAGAGCAATGTAAATTAAAAATTAAATTATAAAGTATTCATTTTTGTACTTTCTGTGCAAGGGAATCAATCCATGGGCTCTCATTTGAAGCATTTCATTGAAAGTTGTGACAGATATTTTTGGAACATAATATATAATATATAATAATTAATAAACAAAGACATGAAAGATCAAGTTTTTTTTGGGTTAGCTATTTTTTAGCTATTTTTATTTTTAACGGACTGATCTTTGGGGCTAAATGGCTTTCTGAAACTCTCTTTCTATGTGGACATCAAAGTAGATTTCATTATTAACATACTCCAGTGATGAAAATGTCATTTTAATTACTGCTGAGCCCGAGCCAGATTTTAGTTTCTTCCCACTCAGAGCTTCATAGTGTCTATTATCCCAGTCCAACCTATTACCACAAACCACGTCTCTGTGAGACCGCTACAGCTGGTCCCTAAGTATTATTAATAATGGTAAGGATGTTCTAGAAAAAGCTAAATAAAGTCTACTTTATTAAATCAAGGTAACTGTCAGAATATGTTCTCCACTTGAATGAGAAATGAGGACAAAGACTGTTTTGTTGAGATGCTTTTTCTGATCTCACTCTCTCAGCCGTTTAGATCCAAGAGTAATCTAATTCAAGGGACATCCAAAGGTTTTCATGTCAAGGACCCCCCAATTGAATTAAGTCCTATTAAATAATGATGCCATGGCTGCTGTTACTCAAATGAACACAATTTAATTCAGTTTATTTAATTCAGAATTACACTTGGATGCAAATCAATAAATCGTCTGTACGCTTTAATACATATTACCTTTAAGAAGTTTATAATGCCCTTTTTCGAGCTGTACCACTTTAAAGAGTTGTTGTAACTTTGGTTATTTTGTAGGGATTCATTTGTAGCTCCGAGAGGAATCACTAGAATTTTCTACATATAAACTGAATATATACAATATAACCATCCAATGAATAGCTTTCAATGAGGACAATGAAATAGTCTCACAGAATTGACAAATGAAATAAAAACAACAGCCAATACTGACCAATACTGCCTTCGAGTTCCTAGCTTCCACGCACAAAAAGCCTTAACAACTTGTAATTTGAGCAGCCCTGCCTAATTAAAGCCCACAGCTTCCACTTGTCCTTTCACAACTTGCAGTCTTCGAGTTCAAGCAGAGATACCAGTGTGATATCATGAGTCATTTCCTTTCAAGAGTTAAAGAGCTCTTCTCTCAAAAATGTGTTTTTCTTGCTCCTACTTGATTCAAATGTGTGACCTTCATTGTGGAGAATGATGCATGTTCAAAATTTAACGCTAGAATTTGCTGAAGGAGACCAACTTTCTCTCTGTGCTGCTTTGATTTCAGCTACCCTGAAATTTTGAAATGAAGATATTTACATTTTCATCCATTTTTTTTAGGATATGTGTGTTTCAAAACATGTTCACTGTGCACCATTTCAGACACAAATTATTATTCCAAACCAAGCGGAGCATTTTATCATGTCTGGTGGTCTTTGCTTTATGTCATTCAGAGCCACGAGGGACTTTGTAAAACAGGCTGTGGACTCGCTGTGACTGCTAAAGTCGCTGGCTTGTAAAATGGTGAATGAATCAAACTCGGTTCTTTGCTGCCTTCTATAGGCATTAGGAGGCCAAATAGTTGCCGTGTACTGCTAATCAAACGCACTTGATTATTTGATCTTCAGTAAGTGTGAGCATTTGGGTTTTATCACAAAGCCAATAAGAAAAGACATCAGCAGTGATCTTCAGGAAGCAATTGTTGCTCCCTATCAATCTGGGAAGAGTTTTCAGGCCATTTCCAAACAGTTTGAAGTCCATCATTCTACAGCAAGAAGGACTGTTCAGAAGTGGAAGACAGTTAAGGGAGTTACCAGTCTTCCCAGGAGTGGATGTCCCAGCCAATTCAGACCATGGTCAGACCATGTAATGTTCAGAGAAACTGCAAAAAAACAAAAACAAAACAGGGATGCATCTCAAACTCTACAGGCCTCAGTTGGCATGTTAAAATTTAAAGTTCTTAACAGGGTGATCATTTTGGCTTGCTTTACAGCCACAGGACAAGAGCACCTTGCTGTCACAGAGTCACCATAAACTCCTTTGTAAAAAGTATTCTAGAGTAATGTGAAGCTATCTGAGAGCTTAAGAATATGGGTCAACCAACAGGACAATGATCCCTAGTACAGCAGCAACTTTACATCAAAGTCCAGACCTCAACCTGATTGAACCTTAAGAGAGCTGCACATAAAGAATGCCTGCAAATCTCACTGAAGCAACACTTTATCAGTCTCTCATGTCCTGAAGAGAATGATAAAGTAATTAAAAAAAAAACAAATTTTTTGTACCACTAAAGATGATTCTGCAAGCTACTGAATAATGTGGTGTACTTCACACACACATTTTAACATAGCTTGGTTTAAAAAGTAATGAAAAAGTCTCATATGTTGTGTGCTGTTGCTCATTTAAAGTTACATTTAAATGATTTAACTTTGTTAGGATCAGATGATTTTTTTATGTCCTGGTTTAAAATCTCAGAACTGAAAGAGAGTGCACTTCATTTGTCACCATATTGCATGTCTAAGCCCTAAAATACCCCCTTGATGACACGCCATATTGTACCAGACCCAACGTTTTCACTCCCAAAATCTAAAGCAATTCAACAACACTGTCCTTGGAGTTACAAGCAGACAAATGAACACAATACCATTTACCATTTTTTTTTTATATTTTATTGAAACATCATTAAAAACTTCTACATGAAATTAATAAAACGTTACACAGTATGTTACAATCACAGCCATTCTAATTTATGATGTCAGCCTTTTAATGACAGAAAAATAACATTTTGAAAAATTAATGCATTGTTAACATCACTTCTCATGTGACACTACATATGGTCCTCAATGAACATCTGTATATGTAGTTAAGAGCCATTCTCGTAAACATAGTAGGAGACACTGATTACAGCTAGAGGACAAAAAGGTATCATTTCACGTTCTTTATTAGGTGTTCTCAAGGTGCAGTGTCATTGAATAGAGAGGACAAAATGCATGTGAGTTAATAAGTGTTTAACACTCAGTTGCTGGGGATACAGACAGTGATGAGAGGCTATAATCACTGATAACAAAGGCTATAGCCAAAACACTGCAATGACACAATATGAGAGCAGGAAGTCACGTTTACCGACTATATAGGAAGTAAGTTCTTCTTTCCATGTTACCATTTTAATTCACTCATTTCTCTGGCTGGTGAGCGTCATCTTCATCCGGTTTCTGCATCTCTGCGTCCTCTCCGTTTTGCATTTGGTCCGACTCTGCTGATTCCTTATTCTGAGAGGGCCTCAGGAGATATTCCAGCTCTTCTGCACTGATGGCCACCTTCTCTGGAATCAACCACCTCTTGAAGTGTTCGAGAGCACTGCAAAGGGATGAAGGGCATGAATAGTTTAGGGTGTTAACCTCTTAAGCCCCAACGCCCCCTGATGTGGGGGCAAAAGGCAGGAGATCAGTTAGGCTTGGGGCTTAAGAGGTTACGATAAGAAGCAGGCCATCTCCAGATAACTACTAGACACTTTGAAAGATAAAGATTAAAGTAATTTTGTATTGGGATGAGTAAATGCCACATAGTCTCTTGAATTTAAGGAAAAGTGGAAACAGTGAGATAATGAGTTATTGCTGTAATATGTTAAGTTAGAAAGACATAGGAAAGAAATGCAAAAATGATACAATCACATCTAAAGATGCAATGACTATAAAAAAAAATAAAAAATCCTCCTCCAACAGGATGATTTTTCACATCATGTCCATGTCCTACCTCTCATCCATGTCGCCCCCTTGGAAGAGCTCTGAGGTCTGGGTATCGTGTAGGAATCTATCCCAGCATTCCTTTTTGGCTTGAGACAAGGAGTGCAGCATGTCCCTGGAGGTCACATCACTGGACTGGCCCTTTATCTTCTTCAGGCGGTTTTCTGGAGCGAAATGTAGCCAAAAATGTCAGTTTTATAGCTTGGATCAAAGTTCCGACAGATTTTGAATTAAGAATCAAAGAAGAGTGTGAGTTTTGGTACAATGTGTCATAAGGCCAGCAAAGATCGCAGATATGCAAAATAACCATTTAGGGGTTAAAGGACTGGTTAGGCTGTAACGGATGTAATGAATTTATTTAAGATGAAAATTAAGAACACCTACTGAACAAATAAAACATTTAACTCATGAGAAATAAATAAGGGCTGATCTTTCTTTGATTAGGAAAAAACACCTTCTGCAGCAATCTTGTCTTTTTTAATCATGTGTGAGTACATACTGTCAAGTGTTTTGTAACAACGTTATAGTTTTGTATTTTTATTCTTGACAGACAGACAGCGAGCGGTACAGCAGCACATGTAACGGCTATAACAGCAAGTTTACGTTACACTATAAGCGGATACTATCATTATACCGTTGCAAATGATTATTGCACTTTTTAAAATAGTAAATACCCCCATATAAACAAATTCCGTAGAGGTCGGTAGCCCTTGTTTACCTCGGTAGCTCAGCCGCGGTCACTTCCAGCTGAGACACATTTCCTAATCCCCTCCTCAGCAAACCACAGCCCAATGAGAAACTAACCTTTTATATGTGAAGCCCAAACTAACCAATCAGCTCTCAAAATTGCTTGACGGGCGGATACAGCGTCTAATCAAATATATCTGAAAAAGGAAGTGGGCTGTCGGTCGTTTAAGATTGTAGATCATGGATATGTTTAGCTAGCAACGCTAAACTTTAATCATTAAAATAATATATCTGCGTTATTAATTTCTAGCCTTTTGAGGTTTTTCCACACAGGTGAGTTATGTTTCTATTCTTTATGGTAACAAACTGCTCGAAAAACGTTTAAATGCCCAGTAATTATCCATGTAGTTGGTCAGCAACCAGCTTAGCCGTAAATGTAAACCGAACCATCAGCTTTCTGGTTTGTCTTAATTGTATGTACCTTCCAAACATCTCACGCAAGTGTCACTGAAAGAAAAGGGTCTTAGTCCAAAAACAGAGTAACACTGTGTGTGTGTTTTAAACCCCCCCCCATGGAAGTTTTATTGTCTATTCGCTTTTAAGGTACCACAGATGGGAACTATCGATTAGCGTCTTAGAGCAAGACCTGCGTATCACTGTGCTGGTATGTTAACTGCAGCACGTATCGTGAGCCGCATTCAGTACATCTCTACTCCTATCCACACATGAGGCATCACCTTAGCCACCGTAAGACGAGAACAGACATTGGACGAAGTAAGCCGAACGAATCTGGATCCCCTCTGACGCTCAGCATCAATATCAACAGCAGACAGAACCAAGGTACTTACGTGATGTGGAGCGACCCCCATACACCCCTCACACACACACTCATTTCCACCCCTAGCTGGGCAGAGTTTCGGTCTGAAGACGTCCGAGATCTGCGCGTTACCAAACAGCGCCCTATACCTGAGACCGGAGTGTTGAAACAGTTTCATCCCACTCAACGTCAGGACTCCTGAAACACTGACCTTCACACTACCACGGTGACACCCACCACTCTCGAACTGCATCGATTTGTGCGGCTCTGTGCTATACATTGCTTGCTCCCTGTCTCACTCTTGTGCCGTATCGTTCTGAGTTGCTGAGCAGCATCAGACTTCCTATAAGGACTTCAGTTTCCACCGTGCGCCTGCTGCCACTGCAGTTTCATATGGATCGATTAAGGTCCAGATTTTTATATCGGAGTTTGACATGATACTCGAGTCCACCACACTTCTCCACTCTTGATAGGTTAAGTCCTGTCCGATTGGAAATGGGAACCCTGTCGATGTTATGTGTTATACGTAGACCAGTATGGGGCAGAACATTTAAACAGTGGGAGAGAGGTTCTGATGGTATAAAATTAATAACATTGATAGCAGATGAACCCAACTCCATCTGATGAGCCACGATGCGTATTTCTATCTTTTAATTTTTTAGACACTTTCCCCTTAAATTCAGAACCAAATGAGTCGCCACAGGATCATTATGACGAGCTCTAGTCTGTCTTGTACCACCGTTGCTCCTCACTCGCCCTCCTGTCTCCCAACCCCAGAGGGATCGTTTCCCGTATGCTCAACACGCTTTCTAGGGACAAACCAGGAGTGCCGCATTCGTGCTCGTGTATAAAGTGCAAAGTATGTGATCAGCACATGCCATATTTTTGGAACGCCCTTATTCACAAAAGGTCGCCGCAGGATATTTGATCAGCAGTTTTTACACCGGATGCCCTTCCTGGCCCAACCCCAGAGGGATCTGTGTCTCCTTCTGGGATCAAACCAGGGATCCGTCGCTTGTTAGGCAAATGTGTCAGCCACTACAAAAACATGGAGAATAAATAGGCAATTCAAGCCAGCTATGCTGAAGAAAACTATCTGGTTTCATTTTGCGGGAATTTAGCATCTTATCATTTCCATGCCTCTTGCTGACAGACAGCGAGGAGACAGGAAGTCTGTAGTCTTGAAAAGCTAAAAAAAGGAAATACCTAGAGTGGCTATGTAAATCTCAGAATCCTCCATGGGTTCCCATTTGGCACTGGATGGACTGGTATCTGTCCCATTTGCTTGTCCATTAACCTGCACAGGCGGGTGAAATGAGTCTTTGAAGTCTGTGCTGCTCTCCGGGGTCGCCTCAGTCTGCACCTCCGGCAGGCTGGAGCAGATCTCGGACCAAAGCTCCCCGCTGGACCGAACCTCCTGTTTCTCGAAGTCGTCTATCATTCTGGTGCAGCCAGTGGGTAAAAGAGATGTCGACATCACGGTTTAAAACACACACACAGTGTTACTCTGTTTTTGGACTAAGACCCTTTTCTTTCAGTGACACTTGCGTGAGATGTTTGGAAGGTACATACAATTAAGACAAATCAGAAAGCTGATGGTTCGGTTTACATTTACGGCTAAGCTGGTTGCTGACCAACTACATGGATAATTACTGTGCATTTAAACGTTTTTCGAGCAGTTTGTTACCATAAAGAATAGAAACATAACTCACCTGTGTGGAAAAACCTCAAAAGGCTAGAAATTAATAACGCAGATATATTATTTTAATGATTAAAGTTTAGCGTTGCTAGCTAAACATATCCATGATCTACAATCTTAAACGACCGACAGCCCACTTCCTTTTTCAGATATATTTGATTAGACGCTGTATCCGCCCGTCAAGCAATTTTGAGAGCTGATTGGTTAGTTTGAGCTTCACATATAAAAGGTTAGTTTCTCATTGGGCTGTGGTTTGCTGAGGAGGGGATTAGGAAATGTGTCTCAGCTGGAAGTGACCGCGGCTGAGCTACCGAGGTAAACAAGGGCTACCGACCTCTACGGAATTTGTTTATATGGGGGTATTTACTATTTTAAATAAGTGCAATAATCATTTGCAACGGTATAATGATAGTATCCGCTTATAGTGTAACGTAAACTTGCTATTATAGCCGTTACATGTGCTGCTGTACCGCTCGCTGTCTGTCTGTCAAGTTTACTGTAATTAGTGAATTTGCACTGCCACATTTGGACATCTTACAAATGACCTAAACTGCCCTCTCGATTACCACACGGAGAATACAGCCAGGCCGTTGAATGCATTTTACAGTAATCTGTGTGTCGTGTACTCAGGGTTACAAGCGCTGATCGTCGCGTCCCTGCAGAGAGATTCGGTGTAGGAGATGCGAGCGGCGCTGCGCCTGGCAGTAGTGGCAGTCCCCATGGGTGTGCTGCTGTCCCGGACAATGGCGTGGATGTCCAGCGGCAAAACAAATCCAGAGCTTATCAGCAGGCTAAGGGGTAAAGGGTTTGAGCTTTGATATCTTTGTTGTTGTTTGTGACCTTTCTTGACCTTTCTAAACGAGGGTTGGGACTGTAGTTACATGTTGCACAGGTTGGTTTGGAATCATCATCTCCATTCATTCAACTCAGTATCAATACCTCTTTTTTTCTTCTTTTTCTGCCAGACCATGGCGTGATCCAGAGTGACAGAGTGTTCAATGCCATGCTGGCTACTGACAGAGGACTCTACTCGAGAGACTATCCATATGCAGACTCTCCCCAATCCATAGGTATTTATTTCAGAAGCACTTTCTAAACACACAGCCTGGGTTTTTTTCATCACATTGCATTGTTGAATAATAGCTGTTTTATAGAGAAAGATCTGCTACAACTTTGTTATGAAACGTTGTAATTACAGGCTACAGGGCAACCATCAGTGCACCACACATGGTGAGTAACAAACACTGAACAGTGCTGGGAGGACTAAATGGTTAAACAAAACTTAACAGAAGTTTTCCTGCTGGCTTTACTCGACAGCATGCTCATGCTTTGGAGCTACTAAGTGACAAACTAACTGAAGGAGCGTCTGCACTGGATGTAGGCTCAGGAAGTGGATATCTCACCGCCTGCTTTGCAAGAATGGTAAATTCTGTTAAAAATTTGAGAAGTTTCTTTCTAAATCTCACCACTAGCTAGATTGTTTCACCCATGTATCATGTAACAGAGGTTAAACAGCTGCTTTTTACCATCATATGCAGACAGGGCCCACGGGTAGAGTGGTTGGCATTGAACACATCGACGAACTGGTTCAGATGTCAATCAAAAATGTTCAAGCTGACGACCCGGAGCTGCTGTCCTCTGGACGCATCAAACTAGTTGGTGAGTCAGGAGATGTCAAACTTAAAGTCATGCCACTTTTATCTATTGAGATTTAAAGCACATGGCTGCAAAAAAAATACAATTCATATCTGGGTATGCCCACAGTGGGAGATGGAAGACTCGGCTACCCAGATGGAGCGCCGTATGATGCCATTCATGTTGGTGCAGCTGCAGCCACTGTTCCTAAGGCTGTAAGGACACAGGCTCTTGTCAGAATAAAATGCAATAAAAATAGGCATAAGGCATTCATTCAGCTATAACTGAAGCCTGCAAACAAGGCACAGAAGGCTGTGGTGTATCTACAGCTATATTAAAGTCATTATAACCCAATCAGTTGTCTCTAAAATAACTTTATAAGTATGTTAAGCTTCGAAGGTACTTGAAATGCATTCTAAAGACAGACTGCGCTGAATTAATGCCATGAATAAAGTGAAAAAGTATGAAACCCTTTTTTAAAATCCTGTCTTTCCTTATGGAAGCTCTTGGAGCAGCTGAAACCAGGTGGGCGGTTGGTTCTCCCAGTGGGCCCTGATGGTGGCAGTCAGGTGCTAGAGCAGTATGATCGGCAGAGTGATGGGAGCTTCCTCAAGAAAGCTTTGATGGGAGTGGTTTATGTCCCCTTGACTGACAAGAGGCACCAGTGGCCTGGGTAAGAAAAAAAAAAAAAGCCTTAAACCCCTTGAACTCTTACACAAAAAATGAGGAAGTCACCTGTGCCTGCTATCCTTCCTTCTCTCCCCAGAGGTGAGCTCTGACTGCAGTGTGGTTGCCCTTGCAGGAGGTGGCGTTGGTGCTGCGTCTCCGGGGCCCTGTAACACCTCTTATAGTTCAACTGAGCTTCTATCTTAAGGACCACCTGCTCTGCTAGGTTGTCACCTAGCAACATGAAAGGAGGATATTGCTCTGTTTGCCTGGCCAGATTGTCTTCCAAGGGCGATAAAACAATGAGTGACTAAATAAGTCTTCAGCGGTCTACTGATTAGCCTCTTCCCAGAATCCTGTGATTCATTTAGAGTGATGCAAGTACAGTAGATCACAGTGGGGAAAAAAGGGCTGTACACAGTATTATTTCTGGGGAAGTTTGTGAAGTGTAATAATGGGTTTGTTGAGATTACAGCATGAAAAGCTCTAAGATATGTGAATGCTTGTGCTGATTTCAGATGGATGGTAAAATTGGTCGCCGATTGTGAGCCTTGCCAGATGTGTGTGTGGGGGGGATTATTTGGATACATATGCATTAATACTTGCAAAAGTTCAAACTTGGGAATTTTAATAAACGTTTAGCAAATTGACAAAGTACTATATTTTTGTGGGAAGAATGCTTCTTACTCATTTAACAATATGTGTGTGCAGAATAAATCACATGTGACACTGTAAATATAGAGCAGGGTTAGGAAGTTGTGCCAAAACATAATAATCTGATACATTTTTGGAATCATATAAGTAACGTAATCATATGTAAATATTGGATTTAATAATAAAACCAAGTAAATGAATATTTTAGTGACTGCTGTTATTCCAAAAAGACTGAAAATAAACACATAACTGGGGTAAACAAGCCTTTTTTGAGATGCTGTGCCATAAAGTGATTTCCTGTATTTAAACCATTTTAAATGTCTTTTAGGCCTATAATCTGTCATGAATTATACATTAATTGAGCCAAGAAAACCATTTGAAGGGTAAAAACGAACTCATATCACTATAATGTAGGTGCAGTAACACAGAGTTTTAAAGACACTTGCAAAACGGGTAATTTCTTTATTTTATATATAACTTTATAAATCTATTTAATTACAGTCTATTAAATATAGGGAAACATTATACATTAAGAAACGCATCAAAAATCACTTTGTGGCACAAAGACGTATTAAGGGAATTGGTATCGTGAGAAGCTACAAGGACTAGAGCATAAAAACATGATCATGAACAAACACAAACATACTGTCATTTATATTTCGTGTGAATAGAACTTAATTTGTAACAAATACATTTCATGACAAAAATAATACATTAAAACACATAAATAACAACAAACGGTCTACTTTTAATGGTTAAGTGCAAAATGGGATGCAGGATTGGGTTTGATAGTTTGGTTTAAACTTCAGGGAGCGCCGATTGGACTACAAACGTCATCACGGCGCGCGCGTGTGGCGAGAAGGACCTCTAGCTAACGAGCGATGCACGTGAGGGTGCCGTTTGGAAGCTTATTATCTTTCTTTCTGAGTCAGTGTGACGTTCATCGTCGCGGAGTTTATTTTGTTTCTGCCTGCGAGAAAGTGAATCGGTTTCTGAGTTTTCTTAATTCTCCACAGTGTAGAAAGAGCAGCTGGGCTATGGAGCGGGCGGGTATTGAGTCGGGAACACCGGGAAATGTAAACACGCCGGTGCCCTTGGAGCAAACTACAGCGGTAGAGGCGTCAGAAACTGGCAAACGCAAAAACGACGACACGGACGACAAAGAGACAAGCGGCAGAGGTAAGAGACGGAGAGGAGCCGGTGGGAAGAAGCTCCGTCCGGGGGAGAGATATATCCCCCCACCGCAGAAACGCAACCCAGGTGTGAGCTTTAGCCAAGAGCATTTCAACGAGACGTCATACTACTTCGAGGCTGGGCTTCGTAAAGTCTATCCGTATTACTTTGACTTTAAGACCTACTGCAAAGGTCGGTGGATTGGAAAGAGCCTTTTGGATGTGTTTAAGAATGAGTTCAGAGCTGAGTCCATTGAGTATTATCAGAAGGCCGCTAAAGAGGGTCGCATCCGCCTCAACGAGACACCTGTGGAGGATCTATCTGTGGTGCTCAGGGTAAGTCTCATAAGTCCATAGTATAACCTATATAGGGGAGGTAAACGGGATCTAGTTAGCACTGACAGTTGCCTCTGGCAGTGCGCCCCAGGACAGCTGTGGCTACAATGTAGCTGCCATCTGTGTGAATGTGTGTGTGAATGGGTGAATGACTGAACGTGTAAAGCGCTTTGGGGTCCTTAGGGACTAGTAAAGCGCTACAAATACAGGCCATTTACCATTTGTGGGATACTAATACAAGGTATTGACTTTATGCCATGGCTACATTATTCACCAAATTCATGTTGCCAAATGATCAGTCAGTAAAATTACTTTTGTTCAATATTGTAGCTTGCATTGAAAGGATCAAATATTTGACATGTGGTAGCTGTAAAGAACAACCCTTCATGTCATTAAATTGGTAGCTATCCAAATCTTGATACTCTGATTTCTAAAAATTCACCTGATTGTATTGGATGGCCTTGTTTGAGGTGGGCAAACACTTAAATTTTCCCTCACCATGCACAGAATAATGATCACTTGAGGAACACTGTACACCGCCACGAGCCCCCTGTAGTTGGCAGACCACTGGAGATTCTGGTAGATGATGGCGAAGTGCTTGTGGTCGATAAGCCTGCCTCCATCCCTGTGCACCCTTGTGGCCGATTCCGCCACAACACGGTGATTTTCATTCTGGGGAAGGAGTTTGGCATCTCTGAGCTGCATACAGTCCACAGGCTGGACAGGCTCACCTCTGGAGTCTTGCTGTTTGCCAGGACGCTTGAGACCTCTAAGAAACTGGACCAGATGGTGAGAGACAGACAGGTATGTTGAGCATGTTTTGCACTTTTGTGCGAGTCGGTTTTCAAAACGTCTCCACAGGTTTCTTACATCTTCTGTCTCTTTCAGCTTGAAAAGGAGTATGTCTGCCGAGTGGAGGGGGAGTTTCCACAGGATGAGGTGATCTGTGAAGAACCCATCCTGGTTGTTTCTTTCAAAATCGGCCTCTGTCGTGTTGACCCAAAAGGAAAGGAGTGCCGGACCGTCTTCCAGAGGCTTAGCTTTAACGGAAAAACAAGTATGGTCCGCTGTTTACCCCTTACTGGTCGGACACACCAGATCAGGGTCCACCTTCAGTACCTGGGTTTTCCCATCCTTAATGATCCCGTCTATGGGTCATCAGCCTGGGGTCCTCACAGAGGGAAGGGGGGACTTGTGGGGAAGAGTGATGAAGAGCTTCTGCAGGCGCTGGTAGAAGAACATCGCTCTCAGGAAAATTTTAACATGCTGGATATTGCAGATGACTGCATTGGCATTGCACACAAGGCAGACAAAAATAAAGCCTCTGAGAAAATGGACAAATCAGCTGGAACCGCTGAATCTGACAAAAGCGGAGAAAGTTGTCCAGTACAGGTAGATGCTTGTGGCAGTGACAAGAAGTTAGATTGCATCGAGGCAGTAAATGACAACAACACCGTTAAAGACTGTCAGAACCCTCAACCAGTCAAATCACATGGAAATGAAACTGGGGCAAATGATTCTAGTCAGAAAACTCCCCCAGACCACCTATGTAGTGAATGTAAACTAGTGCGGCCAGACCCCACAGAGAAGGAACTCATCATGTATCTTCACGCTTTACGCTACAAAGGACCTGACTTCGAATATTCCACACAATTACCTGACTGGGCAAAAGAGGACTGGGTGGAGGCAGATTAGAACAGACCAGATGAACGCTGCTGACGGCTTTGACATTTAATCTTCAGACAATCATTAATCCTCAAAGAGATTTTGGTTTTTAATTTTTTTGATTTAGAACCAAAAACAAAAATGTTTTGCTGCTTTGAAAGCAAATATGAGTTAAGATTGGAGTGGTTCTCATTTCACCTTGAGGTCTATTTTAATTTAACATTATCCACAAAGTCTGTAATCTGTCTTGTACCACAGCGAACATTTGAAATAAATCGAAAGCCAGTCTGCAGGAAAATAAAATGTTTTATTTCATTTTTGTGAAAAATCAACATTGACAGCTATAAATAAGAGTGGTGGTGACCTTTATCTTTTTGTTTATAGAAAGCCTGTGATTGATTACCTTTGTCTATAAGGCAAGGTTATTCTGCTGAGTGACCCAAAGTGAAGGCTGGTTAAAGATGTTTGATTATACAGTCAAGATATCAAGTGACAAAAACACCTCTGCAATGAAAAGTCTTGAAAATAACCTCGCTCATAGGCACATTTTATGGCAAATCTTTCTTCTTAAGGTCCTCGCTGAATCACAGCCACTGCACCTTCAATACTTCTTTGTTTTATACATATAAAGGACCATAAACATATCAAATTTTACTCTTAGGACACTTTTTTTTTTTTTTTGCACATCACAAAATTTCAGCTGCTTTGAAACAACTGTTTGAAAGACATTTGACACATGCTGTTCATGTCATAAATACTGTTAAATGCTTTGCAGTGTGGATAAAGGTCGCCTGTCAGGAGTTTCTCTTAACACTGCAGCCAGATCTGTATGGGAAATTGACTGTTGATGCAGCTGCTTGTGATGGTACAATTACTGCATTTAAAACAGAAATTCAAGCTCCTCCTAATTCTGCTAAGGCTTACTGACATCTGTGGATCCTGAATAGTATGCACCTTAAGTGTATAAACTTTAGTGTTAAGTCTGTTAGACACCACTTTGCCCCTTGGAAATCAGCACGAGTGAACATTACATTGTTTTGGCACTGACACTAGAATAAACAGCATGACCGTTAATTTGAAAGTGAAACATTAAAAGCAAGCCAAGACACCACACATGATACACACTGCGAACTGTAGGTTAGTGATTCTCTACATTATCATCACAAAAGACATACTGTACATGTTATCCCCACAGAGTGCAGAACCCACTGACAGTTGTCTGCTTCTCTAAACGTGACAATGATTGAGTCATGCTCATAAACTGTTTGAGGCTTTGCGCGCAGGCACACCCCACGCAGCTCTGTCTCTTTATATCTCACATTTAAATCTATGAGTGCATATGGCTCATAGGGGTCAATCCCAGCTTGGAGAAACCCAGTCTGTGCAGAGCGTCCAGGTTCAGAAGTTAAAAAGTTCCAGGCACAAAGTAAGTTCTGCAGGCAGCAGGTGCAGCACTCGGATAGTTTCTGTGTCGATGACGAGCTGCAGTTAATATTCAAATGTGGCATTTGTTTAAAACTGTGGCTGGATAGAAAGCTTCATCTTTTGCTGTCATGCTTTCAGTTTTAACCTTTAGCTGAAGACACGCTCATGCTCTGACCTCATTTGTAACAAACGATGAAACAAGACTGGACAAACATGCTGTCGTGTTACATTTGCAGTTGGCTTGTATTTCCTTTGTGTAATATACAAATGT